TTTTCTTTTTTTTTTTCATCTTCTTCTTCGATTCATCTGTGATTCATCTCTACAAATCTCAGTTCTACAATCAAATATGGTATCATTCGCCAGATAAACGATTCATTTCTATTTCCGCTGCTCCTAAATCTCTCTCGATTTGCTGATTTTTTTTTTGCGATTTTCTGTTGATTTTCGCAAAAGATCGAAACACTAGATCTACTCTGCTCACATCCGACCGATCCACTCCGATCTGTTGCTGATACACTCTAGATCTACCATGGCGACATCGATCTCACCCTCCGATGATCCTTCAACGCCGTACTATCTGCATGCATCCGACAATCCCGGTCAGTCATTGTGGCCGAGCCGTTCAACGGCGACAACTACACCTCCTGGTCACGCGTCGTCCTGATGGCGCTCAGCGTAAAAAATAAGGGAGGATCCGTCGATGGTGCAATCGTTCCACCTCCTACTACTAACACTGTCTTATACATGTCGTGGTTGCGTGCTAATAATCTCGTTTTATCCTGGATATTGAATTCAATTTGTAAAGACATAAGACAATCTTTGCTATTTTTCACATCTACGCAAGAGGTCTGGGATGAAATTCGTAATAGATATGCTTTAAGTAGTGGTCCTCGCGTTTTTCAAACTGAGAAATCACAGAGTACGATGGACCAGGGTTCTATGTCTATTACACAATACTACACTGTTTTCAAAGCACTGTGGGATGAATATGTTACGTATAAACCGATTTTTCGTTGTACTTGTGGTGCTTTTGCTACCTGCACTTGTAATATCTTTGAATCCATGACTGTTGCTCAGCATCAAGATTATGTGATGAAATTCCTCATTGGTCTAAATGAATCATACTCTGCTCTGAGAAGCCATTTTCTGTTGACTACACCTTTGCCTACCTTGTCCAAAGTCTACTCCCTTCTCCTTCAAGAGGAATCTCAGAGAAACCTACACAATACCACTAATCCCACTGATTCCATGGCCATGTTCCTCAAAACTGGTCAATCTCAACACAAATCATCTGAACCTCCCTTCTCTAAAGACAAGAAAAGAGCAAAGTGTACTCACTGTGGCTATAATGGTCATACCTCTGACCGCTGTTTTCAACTCATTGGCTACCCTCCAAACTGGACTGGTCCCAAAGGCCCTAGACCTCCACCCAACCCTCCTCAACCCTCTGCCAACATACTACATACTACACCTGCTGAGCAATCTCATGTTAATAATTCCTTGACTGATGATCTACTTTCTGAGTTTATAGTTTACAAAAAGAATAAGGAAATGTCCAAAGTTGATCATACACCTGTGGTGGCATCTGCCTTTCCAGATACTTCAGGCACACAAGGTACATTTCCATCTTATTCTTGCATCATTACTAGAAATCTTCATCAAAATTCATGGATTCTGGACACTGGAGCTACAGATCACATGATCTGCAACTCATCATTTTATAAATCCAAACCTGTTTTTTCAAAAACAAAAATAAATTTACCAAATGGAAATACAACTGAAGCATGTTCCATTGGAGAGGTTCACCTTTCAAATCATATCATTCTTCAAGATGCATTATATGTTCCCAACTTTATATTTAATCTTATCTCTGTCTCTAAGTTGGTTTCATCAAACAATTACATGGTCAAATTCCTATCATCTTACTGCATATTACAGGATATGAACACCCACAGAATGATTGGTTTTGCTGAGCTTAAGGATGGTCTCTACCACCTTTGTCTTGGAACTGCCTCTCATACTGATCATACTGCTCATACACATGTCAATACTGTTCATACTGCAAGCAATTTAGATGTATCTTTGAATTTACCTGTAATTGCTAATAGTTCTTATACTACAGACAATGCGCTATGGCACCACAGACTTGGACATCTCTCTTATTCTAAACTTTCTGCTTTGCCTATTGCTATGAATACTTTGAAAAGCACTGTTCCATGTGATATCTGTCATTATGCTAGACAAAAGAAGCTTACATTTTGATCTAGTTTATCTACTGCTTCTTCTGCCTTTGATTTAATCCATTATGATGTTTGGGGACCATATAGTGTACCTTCATATGCTGGTCATAAATACTTCCTTACCATTGTTGATGATTTTTCTAGAACCACATGGATATATCCTCTCATTCAGAAATCTGATACTAAAAACTACATTCAACAATTTTATAACTTGGTCTTGACTCAGTTTGACAAAAAGATAAAAATCTTAAGGTCAGACAATGGTACTGAGTTCATTATGCATGACTTTTATGATTCTAAAGGCATCATACATCAGAAAAGTTGTGTAGAAACACCTCAACAAAATGCTAGGGTTGAGAGAAAGCATCAGCATCTCCTTCAAGTTGCAAGAGCTATTCTATTTCATGCACATTTGCCTAAGCATTTTTGGATTGATTGTGTTTTAACTGCTGCACACATCATAAACAGAGTTCCTACACCTGTGTTGCATAACATCTCTCCTTTTGAGGCTCTATTTCATAAACCACCTACATATGATCATCTTAGAGTCATAGGATGTCTTTGTTATGCATCCACTCTAAGTGCTAATAGGTCTAAGTTTTCATCCAGAGCATCCAAATGCATACTCCTTGGATATCCCCTCGGTTATTGTTATCATCCGGAACGGTAAACCTACATTAAGAGATTCTAAACGTCACATTAAGAGGAAGATAATCATTGAACCGACGTGACTTACTCCACTCCGGCTCAGGCGACGAACCGGACCGAACTGTCGAAGACCGAAGTGGTCAGCATCTACCGAGGTCAACATAAACCGAGATCGTCACCTCCTTAAGCAGGTGACAAGGTGCCTACGTACAACCATCCTACTCCACAAGATCCGTCATCATTTATGTGGGACCCCCTGCCTCAAAACCGCCCACAAAAAGTCACTTTATTCAAAAAGTAGTGCACAGATCCCAACGTATCAACCCGAAATTACTATAAATAGCGGACCCATGACATTTGTACGGGGATCGCTCTTTGAACTGAAAAAACTTTATTAAGCAACACGCAAAAGCCCATCACGGCTCTTCACCTCGGTTCACCTCGGACCGGGGCCATTATTGAGTTAATCTTACATGCTTTACGTCCAA